TCAAGGAGAGAGGTACGGAGAAGAATCTGTAAGAGGCTATGTCGCTACCCGCTAGGTCTCTGTGATTTTTTATGTTGTGGGATAAACTGGATATTTTAAATTTATCAGCCACCCATGTTAATCAATGGAGTTTAAAAGACAGAAGACCATAAAATACATCAGTGGAGTTAACAAAAACATGTGTGATTTTCACTTAATATATATTGAGAATAGCTAAATATGATACCAAATAGAAAAAAAAAAAAGAAAATACTTGAGAAAATATCTCAAGTCATAAAAACCACCTCAAAACACACACAACAGCAGCCATAGCGGCCATAACAACACATTGGCACATCAGAGAAAACAAATACCTGAAAATCTGAAGCTAAACTTTATATATCACCAAGTCACCACAAGCAATTACTTGAATCTAGTAAGCAATCACCACTGAACCTGCTTATAGGATAAACAAATAGCAAGGTTATGAATACCAAAATAATAAGGATAAAATATACAAAAAAATGTTGATATTCTTCCTTGCCAAGAACAACACCATAAAAGAACAGACCAAAAAAATAATACATATCATTTTCGACATATCTCAATCAAACCCAAAAAAAAAAAAAAAAAAAAAAAAAGGTCAAACACACCACAACCAGCAAAGATTCAAGGAAAAAAAAAAACAAATAAACACCACGCACAAATCCATATAACTTTGCAGGCACAAGATTGTGAGGAATCCCCATCAATAATCATCAACCAAATGGTTAAGTAAAATCAGAAAGAAAAGCAATAAGTAAGAAACCTATGGAAGAGGTCGGTCCTTTGGCATACTACTCCGAATGGGTCAAAGCATGGACAAAGGACACTTCACGCGAAGCGATTCAAAAGCATTTTGAGGAAACCGGTGAGGATGAGAACACCCAACTAATCGAGATGTTTACGCATCAAACAGACAGAGAATATCGTATAATGATGGGCACCGATATCCGAATCCAACGTGATCCGCTTGCAATGAGAATGCGCGAGGATCAGATAAAGGAAAGTATGTTATCAAGTGTGAGAGTGAAACTTATGTTTTAAAGAGAGATAATTTATTTTTAAGTGGAAGGTGTAAGCAGTTTGAGTTCTAAAATCGGTAAAATTTTGGCAAGATGAAACTAAATGTTGAATTAAGAAGTGAGAGTATTTAGTAATTTTTTTTCTTTTTTCTTCCATTATTATATTTCCTTCTCTGATTTTCTTGCTCACTGATTTGCTGGAATTTTTTCTCAGTTTGAGGTGGTGATCCTGTTTACCCAACTATAAACTATATTCAAGACCCAGATGAGGTGATTGATTACAGGGGTCCCAATTTTCATGAACCAACTCCAAACATGCTCGATTATCTAAAGGAGGTTTGGAAGATCTTGCATCTATTCATTCAACTCCAACGCCATACCTAACGGTGTTTCTCGAACACAATGACATGGTAGTATGCTACTCATGGAACCTATGGAACACCTAATCAGACACTTATAGGCCACATACCCCACATAAAAGCACCCATAAAATGAACTCTCTTCTACCCTCTCCCACCATCTGTATGCACGCATGAAAAGGTCCAAAAATAACCACACATACACTGTTAATTTAACCAATTCAATAGCAAAATACAAAGCAATTATCCTCTAAAGTCAAACAAAAAACTCCAACCTGACGAAATAGCCATCCAAACAAATAGAAAACCTAAAACACCAACCATTACAATAGAACATGAAGAAGAACCCCAACCAGATATTTGCCCTGGTTCAAAAATAACACAAACAGTCACCTTGCAACCTCAAACCTCAAATTTGATTGTACATCTTATATGAATACCATACAACAACTAAGGGATGAACAATAACTATCCGATCAATGCTAATAAAAAAATTGCTAAATTGTCAAAGTATACTACACAAATTGAAAAATTACCTTGTGCCTTTTCTTCCACCAGTGACGGCGACCAACCGACGGCAGATAACTGGCGATGCCGACGGCGAGTGTTATGTCTTTCTATTTTTCCTTTCTTTCTTTTTTTCTTTTTTCCCTTCTTGCTTCAGTTCTTCTCCACCGGTGAAGGCGCGGGTTATGGAAATTATCTGTCCTGGTTAAACTTCCGTCGCCGGTGAAGACTCTGTGTTGTGACCTGATCAGTGCGAATTCTCCTTTGTAAGTGCGGCTGTTTTTGTCGGGAACAAATTCTTGTGTTCAAGTGTTTTACTTGTGTGTTAGATATACTTAGAATAATTAGGAGACTTAGAATTTTAATCCAATTAGGGATTTTTAATTACGTGTTAGAGATTTTCAAGAAAATCAATTAAGAGTTAGCGATTGAACCGAGCTTAAAGTTTTTGAGCCCGGTTCGACTAATTTTTGAACATGATCGTGTTCGTTCATTTAATATTCAAATAAAAATTTTCATTCGTGTTCGTTCGTTTCTCAATTCGACAAGTTTGTATTCGTTCGTTTTTAAGTACCATATATATTAAACAGATTTCCATACTTATATATATAAGTTATATTATTTATATAAATTACGTATATAATCACATATATAATATATATATAAGGGTCATTGGAGAGAAATTGAACTGTTAACACGAACGATTACTAAACGAACGAGCTGTTAACACGAACGAACTTTGTTCGCGAATAGTTCGGTTCGATAACAGTCCTACAAGCTGGGTCATTGGAGAGAAATTGAACCTCATTGTGAGTTATCAAAATCGAATTGATGATTATTCGGTTATCCAAAGTAATCGGTACGTCTCGATTTAATTTTTCGCCGGTTTTGTTCGGTTTTCGATTTTTGGAAAAAAAAAAATCTTATGTGTCCAAAGTGTTTCTATAACTTTATTTATCATTTTAATTATAGGATTGAATAAGACTGAGATCACCATATATAATAAAAATACACTTTTTTAATTAGTTGACGAACAAATATAATTAAGCATGAAAATATTTGTGTGTGTGTGTGTGAGGTACACTTGATTATATATTTGCTATCTAAAAATAAAAATTAAAAAAATGGGGAGAGATAAGTTATTTATTTGCATTTCAATATATATTAAAGAATTAAGTTATTATTTATATTTTTCACTTTTCAAATACTTTTACCACCGCTTGCTCACTGACAGCACAACTTCTCCAATAATCAAGTAAGGGCTCGTTTGTTAGCATAAACAAAAAAGTATAATTTTTATTAGGGGTATTAAAATTAAAATGTAGAGATCGAATACAATATATTGATAATAATAACCAATTAAGGGTTCGTTTGTTAACCTAGACAAGATAGGACAATTTTTATTTCGAGTTTCAAGATTAAATTGTGGAGATCGAATATGTTGTGCATTTGATGTCTATGACTGTTCCGAGACAAGAGTTCATTTTTTCAAGGTTTAGAAAATCAATATATTTTAAAATTATCATCATTATTAATAATATTGAAGGAACTCCCTCCTCTTGACCGATTCTCACTTTCCCCAATTGTTTAAACCCTAATTAAAGAAGTGTGCCCCCCTTTCGTCAGGTAACGGTGTTGTAAAGAATCGGTTTCCAGCGAACTAATTAAAAACCAGTCAACGATCGGTTGAATCGATCAACATCAGTCAAAATCAACTAATCAAATCGGTTTCAACCAGTCCAATGTTTTTAAAAATTAATTTAATATATTTAAAATAATTTTTATATAAATAAATAATACATATGTAACTATAATTAATGTGTAACATTTGAATGATTTAAGTTGACATAATATTTAATTAACAAATTTTTGTATATAACAAGTTTTATTATAAACAATATTATGCAATATACCTTATAATAACATAAAATTACTAAAGTGTCATTAAGAATAATAAAAAAAAGGCAATTTCACTTTATAACCCAAAACGGAAAAACCATATATATTCATCTCCTTCCCAACATCTCGACAGTACCCCCAAATCGCAGAACAATGCCAAGTTGCAGCTCACTAAACTGACCTAGCCAAATTCAGCTCAATAAGCCACAAATGCCCAAAAATCTTGACACAAATAATCTCAATTTCGATCCCATCTCCCAATTTCAACCCAAAACTACATAAATTTCTTGAGGGAATAGGAATAGAATCCTCCGCCAATATTGATGATGTCTGCCACCTGGTGCTCGAAGTCATCGGCGAGGACGAGGACGGAGGCGGCGGTCGTGCGTTATACAAAGGTCTACGAGGCAGCGGAGGGTGAGGTTTGGGAGTGGAGCGAGTGGACGACCGAGTCTGCATCTTGGAGGAGCAGGTGTTGTGGCTGAGGGATAGACACTTCTCGATGGAGGTCAGGTCATCGGTCACACCGGTGCAGAGGCTCGGCACGCATATGGTGATCGGGCACCACAGGTTCAGCTTCAATTTTATGCTCATATCAATCATCCCTATTTTTTGGTTTTTTGTTAAAAAATTTAACTTAAATAAGGTTATTAGGGTTAACTTTGGCCAATCTTATTCAATAAAACATTGGCGGCGAAAATTTTTGATTTGGCGCTCACTGCCTCGTTTCATTTTGGTACTCTTATCTATTTAAGGTAGATAAGACTGAATTGAATGTGATCGCATCTTCTGTTAATATCTCTCCTCTCCCTCTCACTCATATAAGTTCAATATTACGCAAACAATTAACAAAGTTATAACCCGCCTTCTCTTTTGCATCAGTGTGTTCTTGAGGAACTCGAGGTCTGCAGACTCTAGATTTATCTTGCTTTTTTATGTTTTACAGATTTATTTTTACCCAATAGTAGATTGTTTGGTTGTGCCTTACATTAATTTTGAATACATATATACTTAGCTGCTGTTATTCTTTTTTATTTTTGCCTCGTACAGATTGTTTCAGATGGCTCCAGGATTAGTTCGGAATCCAAAAGCAAGAATCATACCAAATAATTCTCGGCAGAGTCTCAAAGAACACCTGACAAAGACAGGAGGCTTAACAAAGAGTAACACCTGACAATCTGAGAAAACCAATATGGCATCCGACAAAGTGAACAAGGGTTTGCTAATAACTGATGGTTCGTCTATACGAAGCGAAAATGCAAATCCGACGTTCGAGGGAAACATGGCAACTATTCAGCCTCAGCCTCAGCCTCCTCAAACTCAGCAAAAGGAGAGTACTCTTATGCCAGAAGTTCAGACTCCACAAACTCGGCAAAATGATTTGCAAAATCAAAGTCAGCCACATGGAAGCACTCCTGATCCTTCATCACATCAGGGAAATCAACATCCTCAATCACCTCAGGCCGATATCATTGGTACGTATCTAATACTCCGAAACCATTGTGATTTTACAGTTCCAAAAACATGCTAAACATGCTATAGGAACAGATATTATTGGTATGGATTTTGATTTCTTGATTCTTTAGTTTTTTCTTCGAACCAGTACCCATTATTTCCTCTGTTGTATTCTTGGCTCCCTCAGTAGTAACATGTTGGATTAGCAGTGCAGAGCTTGGGCCCTTTGACTTTTATCAGCTGGGTATTTCTTCTGATTGGTGGAGTTATGTTTAGCTATGTTCTCTCAGCCTTTGTTATCCCTGTTGGTGTGTTAGTTGCCTTTAGCATCGTGCTGTTGTGTCTGTCATCTTGTTTTTTTAGCTTTGGTTTTTCTTTTTTAGGTGTTATGACAAAGTTAAAATTTGGACTATTTTTCCTGGTACTTTTTTTTGTCTTTGTTGTGGGTTTGTGAAGCAAGGTTTGTTTGATTATTATTATTTTTTTTTTTAATTTTCTGCGGACTTTGTTTGTATTATGAGCTGTTGTGTCATCTTGTTTTTTTAGCTTTGGTTTTTCTTTTTTAGGTGTTATGACAAAGATAAACTTTGGAGTATTTTTTTCTGGTATTTTTGATATAGCTTGTAACAGTTGAAATTTTTTAACTTGGATATGAAAGACCATAATCAAAAGACATGAAGGCCATTAAGATGATAAAAGGCTTATGGACTCAAGTGTCTCTTTTCTTGTTTTCTTTCCTAAGCCCACATCTAGCAAAAACACCCTAAAAACTCCACAAAAAGGCTCTACACTCATTCATTTATGTATTACCAAAATTTCATCTTTCACCAACTAGTCCACGGTCACTTGCCGCATCCTAAACTTGGACTATTTTTCCTGGTACTTTTTTTTGTCTTTGCTGTGGGTTTGTGAAGCAATGTTTGTTTGATTATTATTTTTTTTTTTAATCTTCTGCGGACTTTGTTTGTATTCTGAGCTGTTGTGTCATCTTGTTTTTTTAGCTTTGGTTTTTCTTTTTTAGGTGTTATGACAAAGATAAACTTTGGACTATTTTTTCTGGTACTTTTTATGTCTCTGTTGTGGGTTTGTGAAGCAAGGTTTGTTTGTTTATTATTATTTTTTTTAATCTTCTGCGGACTTTGTTTGTATTCTGAGCTTTGTTATATATATTAATCGTTGCTGTTAAAAAGAAAAGTATTCTTTTTCATGGTGGATTTACTAGTTTTTTGTATTCTAAGCTTTGTTATTCTGAGCTTTGTTATATACATTGTACTAGTTTTTTGTTAAGAATTTACATGGTGGATTTACTTGTTGGTTTAGAAGATATCTCCGTTTTTAATGTGGTTTGTTAATTTGTAGTATGAAAATTTATCGTGTAGCATTCTTTGGTTAAGTTATTTGCTAACTGTTGATAAATGTGTCATTGAATCTACTTTGGACCTCCAGTGACTAGTATAATATAAAAAGCATGCATGTTCTATATTTATACATGTGCCTTTGCCTTTCACAGTGTTTTGATAAAATACAGTCTTATGAGTAGGAAGCTTTCGACTAATTAAAATAACCTTCATACTTATTGAGTGGTGAACATGCAGCTTCCAATACCACCAATACCACCAGTAAGAAAAGGCGTGGACAAACAATGGGCAAAGGTATTATGAAGGCATTTCAGGCTTGTGGTAGAAAAATGAAGATAACTGTTGATGCATCGATAGGAAGACCTAAAAGGAGAGACGAGTCTTCAAAATTTTCTAGTCAAATTGGTGTAGTCACTCGAGATGTCCTTCCGGTGCCAATAAGGTGGAAAGATGTTGATGAAGAAAAAGATCTTCAACCTGCCATTGATCATATGAAGGTAAAAATTAGAAACACTTTTCAAGTTGCATGAATACAGTTTTATATCACCTGAAATGATCTCATTTTTATTTGTGTAGATCCACATGGATATTAACTTGGATGATCCAGGTGTGAAACGTTGCGTGATTGATAGAGTCCAAGCTAGTTTGCGACAAAAACGTTACAGATTACACCAACATTATAAGAAATATTCCTCTCATGAAGAGGCTAAGAATAACAAGCCGTCTTTTTGTGCTAGTCAAGAAAACTGGGAAGAAATGTGTGAGCTTTTTGCATCGCCTAAATTCAAGGTAATGCATTATAACTTTATTCTTCTATTTGCATATTAAATTTGTAGTTTTCATATTTTTAGTTTTCTAGTGTTTAATAATAGAATTTATGTTTTCGTAGCACCAAAGTTCAATTAATGGGATGAATCGACAAATGTTGTGCGCTCCACATGTTTCGGGCCGAACACCTTTTACTGTTCTTCAACATGAAATAGTAAGTTTATGTTTAAGATATTAATTTATTTATGATCATTAGTTTTTTTTTAAAAAAAAAAAATTAAACTATTTCTGTTTATTGTTAAAAAAATCTTGTAGTCTGAGAAGGAGATGAATGGAGGACCACTAGATATGATTGAACTTTATAAGCGTACGCATTATAAGGAAAAAGGCGGTTGGTCAACAAAAGAGGCAGAAGAAAATTGGGTAAGTTGCATGCACAATCTCTTATTTTAATTGTTGAAATGAATATCAATATGATTATATAATTTATTGCTAATTGTCAGGACTTGATGATATCAAGGAGAGAAAAATATTTTGAACAAGGCACTGAGAAGAGTGAACAAGATATACTTCTTGAGGTTCTTGGCCATGGAGCTGGATATATAAAAGGTTATGGGTATGGCCCGAGGCCGCCAAGTAGACGCAAAGCATATGACTCGAACGGCCAGAAGGAACTTCTAGAGACACAAGAAAAGCTGCGTGGAAAAGAATCTGAAGTGCTTGAGCTTAAGGACCAAGTTAGTGATTTGAAAGATCAACTAAGTCAACAAGGTGCAAAAGTCGACAAACTTATGGCTTTCATGGCTGCCACTGGGATCGAAATCTGAGATTGTTAGGCTTTGTTATTATTATTATTATTTTATTTGGCACATTTTGAGATTGTTAGTTCGTTTACTTATGTTTTTAATTAGTACAATTACTATTATTGTCGTTTTTTTTTTTTATTTATCATCTAGAACATTTTACCATGATATATTAATTATATTGATTTTGTCACTGTAATTTCTTTTAATGACGTAATTTTTTAAAGTGACGATAGATTTTGTCACTGTATCATATATTTGATGACAAATAAATATATCACTAAATATCTGCAATTAATGACAATCATTATATTTGTAATAGGGACAAATTTTAAATTGTCATTGAAAATAAACTTTTTTTGACAACATGTAATCGTGATGTATTTGTTTAGATTTGTCACCATATAAAATGTTAAAATGACAATAACTTTTGTCACTAAATATTTACCTTTTCATGACAACTTATGTTGTCATTATATCTCAAGCTTTTGATGACAATCATTTTTTTCGTAATCATAAAGTTAATATTTCATGACAAAAGATTTCGTCGCTTTTATATGTTTTTTGAGACGAATAATATTTCGTCACTACTTCTATTTTTTTGTGACACTTTTGTTATCGTCATATTTAAAATTACTTTTTATGACGACCAATATTTTGTAATTATAGAACAACGTTTTGTTGATGAATTCTATGAAATATGACGATTATTTTAAAGAAAACGCCACAAATATATTCGTCATTGAAATATTATAAATTCGATAAAAAAATAAAATTCGTCACTAAACAATAATATTTAGATGAAGAATGTAAGTTTTCGTCATTTAAAACTTGTCTTTTTATGACAAAATAATCGTTTATATGAGAAATTTTTCATATTAAACGTGACGAAATTGTTGTCACGAAAAGTGACCAAATAACATGACGAAACTTAAAAACGTCATTAAAAGTGAAACATTTGGTGACAAATTCAAAATTTGTCACCTATACCTAATATGACGCGGCTACGGTGACGATCGCTGTGACGATAAAATTTCGTCATCATTGTACTTTTGTGACGAAAAACAAGTTTTACATGACGAATTTTTTCGTCATGTTTTGCGAAATTTCTTGTAGTTGTTACCCGAGTAGGCATCCATGCAACTCATCAATTCATGTCCAGAGGTGGCGTCCACCATATAATCGATATGTGACAATGGATAACTGTCTTTTGGACAGGCCTTATTCAAATCAGAAAAATCGATGCAGAGTCGCCACACACCAGTATTTTTCTTGACCAGGACATGATTAGATACCCAAGTTGGATATTTAGTTTCTTGAATGAATTTTTTTTTCGATAAGCTTCTTGACTTCGTCTTCAAGAGCCTTTTGGCGATCAGGACCGAGCTTGCGTCTCTTTTGAACAACCGACTTTATTGTTGGATCTAAATTAAGTTGGTGTGAAGCCACATTGGGGTCAATGCCTTTCATATCTTTGTGTTTCCAAGCAAATACAGCAGAGTTTTATCGGAGAAATTGGATAAGTTGAGTTCGTATTGGCTCTTCAAGCTTGGCTCCAATTCGAAGTGGTTTATCGCAGATGGGATCATCAATGAAGACTGTTTCAATTTCTTCAGATGGCTCAGCTCGGTCAACTTTGCTTTTTTCTTTAAATTGAGTGCGGGGGTCGAGTTCATCTTCTTCATTGACAGGTTCTTTTCTAGGACGTTGTCCACGATCTCGAGTTAAGTCGTCTTGAAATGTTTCTTCCGAGCTTCTTGTGATCTCAGAATGTTCTACTTCCATCTCGGTGTTATCAGGTACTGAGTACTCAAGAGTTGGTGCTTTTTTCGATTCCTTCTGGACGTTTTCTGCCATATGTATTAAAGAAGAGGGTTCATGCCAAGGTTTGACCCATACCATTCCTCGGGCCTCATATTGATCGCCATAATGAGTTCCTTTTCTATTATTCGTGGGAAAAATTAAAGCATAATGAAAGATCGAAACAGCTGCACGAAGCTTGTACAAAGCTGTTCTTCCCACGATGGCATTATATTCATTCATGAGGTCCATTACTTTGAATGTCTCCAAGATAACCTTTGAGGCCTGTCCAAGAATTCCGAACCGGATTGTCATAGTAATTTCGCCAAGAGTCGGCGTGATTGTTCCATTGAAACTTTGTACTTGATCTTTACATGGTTTAAGCTCGGCAGGATGGATTCCCATTTGTTCGAACGTGCGCAGCATCATTATACTCGAATATGCACCTGTATCTACCATTATCCGATGTATAGGTATTCTGAAAATTAGTGTCGTGATCATAAGTGGATCGGAATGCGGGTGAGCGAAATAACTTGCATCATCCACGTTGAAAGTGATAGGGAAATTATTCTGAGCATTGATTTTATCCCGGAGGTCGGTAGTTAAGACAGTTTTGCCCGAGTTGTAAGCTTGTCGAGCGTATGCTTTCACCTACCGACGTGATCCATTTATTTTCCCACTACTATTGTTAACTCGTGAGACATTATGAAAACCAGGAGGATTAGAATAATCGCTTCTTTTTTATGTTCCAGCTTTCACTGAAGATGAAGCTTCATTCTCCTCCGAGTTAAACATAAAACTTCTTTGTCACCCTGTCTAATACATTTCAGATTGATCGGGCGATCGTCATCTTCATCATCGTCTGAAGGTTCTAGTAGTCTGCCCTTTCGTTTATAATAAACATT